TCTGATCTATAAAACTGGACCCATAAAGTTCACTAGGATTTGAGAAAGGCATATTTAAGGTGAAAAACTGACAAGATGACCAATTACAAGTTCATACTGAAGAAGCATAGCTGCCAGAAATCTACCTGCACTACTTGAGCTGAAAACGAACTACACAGCTAAACATGGATCTAATTCAGAGTAGTAGCTATTTTTAATGTTTGTGGAAACTGCTTATATTTGCCATTGAAAAAAATTCAGTTAAAAAAAGGCATTCATATTATCCTATATATTGGGAGTTAGGCTTAATCAAAATAGACCATAAATTTGAGATTACAAAAGTTTCCTGGAGCCAGTTCTATGAAACAAAGCATAAAAATCTCTGACAAACATGCCAGCATCTGCCCTTAATTCCAGAAGCAGGAAGCAAAGATGTGACCCAACCACATGATATCAAACCACAGTCCATCTGTTCAGAAATCACTGCATTATGTAAGTCATGACCAAGAGGGAAAAGCAAAAGGCACACAGTTTGTGAACATTTCGAGGGGTCTCTACGGTTTAAAGAGACACATTCTCACATAGCAAGGGCCACAGTAATGCCACTTTCAAAACGCATTTAAACTACATATGATTATATCTGATACAATACAATGGCACTACAAGAATGGTACTGAGTCCTGGTAACTTCCAACCAGACCTGGAACTTTTCAACAAAAGGTGCCCCCACGAGTTGCTCTCCCCATAGGAACAAGATTTACCTCCCCCTTGATTATTTTGATGTCAGTTCTCCCATTTAATTTCAACAACAAAGTAGATAGTCTAAAATGCTAAACACCTAACCAAGGTCTTTCAGTTACTACTCCCTAATTCAATTACACCTTACTTAAACAAGACCAAATTTCAAACTACATTTAGCCCACTTTTCTCAGTCAATGAGTACTAAACCACGTCCTCTGTGGGCAATAAAAAAGATGCTGACCTTTCCCTGGAACTTTTAAACTCATTCTCCCTCCTACCCACCCACAGAACTCAATTTTCATAAATTCTGTGAAATTCAAGACCAACTTCACTTAAGGAAGTCATCCTAATCCTGCTCATCCCCGCCTTCAAGTTCTTCATATTTTAGATATCTTTTGTTTTGTTTTGTTTTGCTTTGGGTGGTACTGGGGTTTGAATCAGGGCCTTATGCGTCTAGGCAGGCACTCTTACCGCTTCAGCCACTCTGCCAGCCCAAGTCCTTCACATTTTAAAGTGCCATATAGGTCATAAGACTTGGAATCAGAAAATCAAAGTTCCTGTCTCCATTTGGCCCTCAGGGGACCCTGAGAAATTCACCTAATCTTAGATTTTTCCACCTGTAAACTATGATGATACACTTATGACTTTCATCATCAGAATGCCTAGCCCTGATGGCCATCCCATAATGTTATTCTCCCTCCCTCAGCCACTCAACATCCATCACCTTTGTGTTTTGTTTTCAGCTACATATTACAGTGTTTTAGAACTGGGAAAAAATAATAGAAGTCAACACATCCAAACCCCTTAGTACAGAATAAGGAATGTTACTCTAAAGAGAAACTTGCCAATCAGTCAATAAAAACTTTGACTTCTGCCCTGTATATGCCCCAGAATAGCTGGGGACACAACTTTAATACTCATCAAATCTTCCTCTTTACCTGTCTAGACACCCTTCAAAGTCAGTTTAAGCTTTTCCTAAAGTGTCCATGAAACCTTCCCCATTCACTTCAGCCTACTCTATTTGCCTCTGAATAATAATGTCTCACAGCTCTATATGGGTAATATTAAACATATTTAACTGGCACTAATCAATCACAAAAGATGTTTAACTAATCAAAACACAAGTGATTCCAATGGGAATTGTTGGGTGAACATCAGTCTTACTTATTACTAACAATACAAAAGAGCAAGCTCAAACCTGAATACTCACACTTTCTCATTTGATCTTCATAATCTCATGCAGTAGACAAAGTAGGTATCACCCATTTTCTGTAAAACTAGAGACAAACTTGGGACTAATAACCAAATCAAATAACCAACTTCTTGGCTGGGTGTGGTAGCTCACACCTGCAATTCTAGTTACTCGGGAGGCAGAGATCTTGGTTTGAGGCCAGTTCAGGCAAAAAGTTCACAAGACTCTAGCTCAACCAATGGCTGGACACACACCTGTCATCTCAACCATGTGGGAAGCACAAAAAGGAGGACTGAGGTACACTCTGGCCCAGGCATAATGCAAGACCCTATCTCAAAAATAACCAAAGCAAAAAAGGGCTAGTGGAGTGGCTCAAGTTGTACAGTGCCTGCCCAGCAAGTGTAAGGCCCTGAGTTCAACCCACCGTGAAAAATAGAAAAAAAAAAAAAAAAAAACCCTTCTTCTTTCACTATACTATATGACTTTTCCTGTTTGTATACACAGACTTACAAAGTAGAAATACATAACCTGTACTTACACAAAACAGTAGGACTGATCAGTAAAATGGAGTTCATTTAATCAGTAAACATTTATGCAGAATATAAAGCACAATGCTAGGTTCTGAGGGCACACAAGGAAGAAAAGGCATGAATGACTCTTGCCTTCTGGATATCTAAAATATACTCTAATACATTTAAATAACAGTGCACTATGGCAGAAATGGACAACACAAACTGTAAGTGCTACACAGTAGAGGAAGATAAAGAGAACTTAAACCTGTACAGGAAGTCAGGACTGAGAACTACTCTCCTCACATTCCCACAAAGGGGCAAAATTAAATATGTAGTGAAAAGGCTGAACAGTCAGGAATCAGTGAGAAAACAAAAATCACTGAGGGTCTGAAGTAGTGAGATCTCTAGTTTGGATGCCTCAAGATGACCGTAATTATAAGCCTTAAGTGTTGCTCTTGGGTGCTGACTACAAATGGGGAATCTTTACAGGGATGATCCAGGAAGATGAGTTTGGCAGTAGCCCATGGAAAAGCCTAGATGATAGAAACACTGGAAAGCAACTAGATTTGTGGGATAACAGGCAGAACTAAGCTCATGGCTGCACACCAGAAAAGGGAGAAGAGTTGGAATTTAAGCATGTTTTCAAAGAAAAAGTTATGAAAATGGCAGAAAGGAACCAAACAGTATTCTCACATAGGATACATATGTAGACACAGCAGCACTAAACGGTGCACAAAAAACCAATTTCCCTAGAGAAGTCTATGTTGGAGAGAGGAACCTGGGCAGAGAAATATAAAACTGATTCTCAGACAAAAAGAAACAACTTCAACTCTTAAAATGGGAAACTAAATCAAGGAATAAAAACAAAGTATGTGAGCTTCTTCAGAATGTATAAAACGATCAGCTGAAACATTAATATTACCAACCAGGCCAACCGAACAAGGTGAGATAGTCCAGCGTTGAGTAATTAAATATCTACAGGAGCTTTGTGTATGTGTGCCTGCGTAGAATGTAAACTCCTCCTGGGCGTGGACCGGGCAATGTCATGACATCCAAGTCCAACTCTGTTATTTAAATACATGAACACTTCCTACATTACCTAGGCGGAAAATAATGAACTACTTTAAGTAAGGCAGTGAAAATGTTACTTATGTTTGATGATAATTATATTTATTCTCCCACCTGTCCATCCAGTTAACTTGCCTCTCTCCTTAGGCCAATGCCAAAACCGCATTGTTCCTTCTAATGCAGGCCTGTGTGTTCTAGGAATCAGAAAGAAGCCAATCTGATATTTAAATTGTTAGGGAAAAGAATCTAAGCATGAATAATGAACTAAATGCTCATCAGGTGACTGAAAAAGAAAAGCTAGCTATGCTGCTTTCGTGTATGTATCAGGTGCACAGATTTTTGAAACAAGAGAGAGCCTTGCAAACCCTAAGTTCAGCACTTAATAACAACTTCCCTCACTTGCACCTTGTTTTTCTCATCTGTAAAACAGGGCAGATGCCACTGGTCCTGAGTGTTTGGTGTCATTAATAGTAATGTCTTAATAAACAATACCCACTAGAATTCGTTAATAATCGGCATTCACACTCCAGAAGAATTTTTCCCCCCTTAGCATTTGCTGTCCAATTTCGGAAACAGAAATGCACTTTCGCTTTACTTGCTAATGCCAGGGCTCTATATTTTAGTTTTTCATAGTTTAGTTCAGCTGCGAACAAAGTTTCTCACTCCTCCCTTCCTGGGAGTAGAGGACAACCATTTATCACAACCTGATCTAATAGTTTAGCAAACCACAGAAAACATTCTCCCTTAAAAACACAGACGCCTTGGTCTAAACCACTGTCACTCATCGCAAGCGAGGTTCCTTCGAGGAAATAAAAGCTGAGAATTCACAGAATCAACCCCATTCAAACATTCCAAAAGGCGCAGGGAGTAAATGTTAAGTTCGACCACGCAGGCAAGCCGGAGCCTCGGGTCCCCGGACTCGCTTACACACAAAGCTTGGGGCCGTCCCTTTTCCGCAGGGTCGGGGGCTCGGCCATACGGGACCCCCTCCCCCCGCCCTGCCAAGTCCTTGGGGCTCCGAGCCCGCTCCGGGCCAGGCAACCGCTCGGACCCCACCCCGGCCCGGCCCCGGCAGCCCCGGCCCCAGCGGACGGACGGGGGAGCCCGGAACAAGGCCACACGGGGAAGGGCGGGGGAGGCGGCCCAGCTCCGCCAGTCCCCGCCGGCCGCACCCCCTCGGGCCCTCGCCCACTCACCCCGACCTCGGACGGCCAGCCCGCCGCCGCCGCCGCTGCCGCCCCTGGGGAGTCCCGAGCCGGGCGGCCTTGGGCTTCCGGGCGCGTCCCTCCCCCGCGCCGGCGCTCCGACCCACGCCCCCGCCCCGCCTCTGTTCCCCGCCTGCGGCTCGCGTGGCGGCCGCGAGGGTCAGGAAAGCCCAGCCCGGCCGCCGCCACCTGCGCCCCCGGCCCCGCGCCATGTTTGAGAAAGAGCAAGAGCGAGCCAGAGGCCGGGCCCGGCCCGCACGCCCTGCGGTCGCCCGCCCGCCTATCGCCGCCGCCGCCACTCACCCGTCGCCCCCGGGAGCACTGTCGCCGCCGCCGCCGCCGCCAACACGAGGAAAAGCAAGCGGCGACGCGGAGCAGCGGCTGCCGCCTCCATGGTCCCGCCGCCACTGCCTGTGGCCCGGCCCGGCCCGGCCGCCGCTTCGCTTCAGCAAGCCTCGCCTCGCCCCACCTCCCTGCCGCCGCGGCGGCCTGGGCTCCGGCCCTTTGTAACTGCTCCGGGGACGCGCGCCCATTGGCTGCTGGGCTCCCGCCGGCCCCGCCTCCCGCCGCCTGCGAGCGCCCTAGCGGGACCCTGCTGCGAACCCCGCCCGCGGGCCAGCCAGGCGGCCAATACGGAGCCACAGGCGCCGGACGCTGGCCACGCCCCCGCGCTCCGGGCCGCACCTCCAGACCCCTGCCCCTGCCAAAGCCGCTCGCGCTCCACTGGCGGATGGGGGTGGGGTCCGGCCAGCCCCGGGTGCTGCCCAGCCTCCAGCCCCGAAGGGCCAGGACTGAGCGATGGGCGTGTAGGTGTGCAAGTTGCTTTGGAAAAAGCTGTGCCCGCTGGGCGCTCTTTTCTTCTACCTCCAACCCCACCTTGACCCCTCACTCACCACCCTGCACCTACAAACCCCAACGCACGCCCCAAACCCGAAGTATGGTCAGGTAGAGCATCTACTCCAACTTCACATCCCCAGACCCACACCTCAACTTGCACAACCCCCAAGACCCTTCCTTAGTGCCCTTCACCTGCGACCTAGTCTCTCGTATCCTCCTGCTCTCAGCGTCCACCCCAAACCTACCCCTTCTCCCCAAATTTCAGATCAAAAGTCCTGAGATCCAATCCTGAGCTCAGGGACACCTCCAAGTAACCTCGGCTCTGTCCAGAACAGACCCAGAGTTGGGATCCAAACCGCTCTCCCTCCCTCTGACCCCTTCCGATCTAAGTTGGAAGTGTAGGGGGTCCCCGAACACCTCCATAAAGGGGATTCCCCTACTGAGCACTCAGCTCCCTCCAGGGCGGAGGGAAAGCAGTCTTCATTACTTTGAGCCGTCTCTGACACGCCTGTGTATTAATTCTAAGGTGTCACTAAGAACCCAAATAAACTCAACTACGTTTTCATTCTGAATTCCTAATTTACTGTGAGACGCTCCGCCCACCTTCCCTCTGGGACGCCAAAATGAGCTCCAGATTTGTAATTCTTCCTGTCAGACGAGTCCTTTCTTCAGACACAAACACAGCCACGGAGGCTGCTGCAAAGCGCGGGGAACATTTTTCCGCAGAACCTTTTAAGGACAAAATTTTATTTTCTATGTTATTTGAGCTCGAAATTAAATAAAGCTTGGTAGCAGGAATCAACCAGCCTCTAGTGAATGTGGATGGGTAAATTACTTTAGAGCTTCTCACTGAGCAACCAGCTTGGAAGACTTCCTTCATGAGCTGTAAAGGGAAGGGTTGGGGTCGGAGCTGGGGTATGAGGCGCCCGATTCCCCTGCTGGCTAGGACACTAACTTGAGCAAGTCGCTAGCCTTCCAAGCCTGAACAGGCTGCTAGGTTGGGAAAGGGGGCTCCACCCTGCCCTCTGGGGCTCCTGGCCCACCAAGGCCCCAGAGACTGCATCCAGCAGGCTCCAGCCCCAATCTGCCCTGTTGCTTCAAAGGATACTTGGTGGAGCCAAGTCACCTTGTCACACCTAAGGGCTCCACTGCCTTTGCTGTCTCTTATCACTGTCTTGTGTAAGATATGTGCACAGATTTTTATTATATGAATGAATGAATGATTCATCTCAGAAAATGTTTTTCTCCAGCCATCATTTAGTAGGTACCAAATAATAGTACCTTCCCCATTTATAAATAAAGGGGTTTGAATCACATGTCTTGGGCTTCTTCGTGATGTAATGTGTCTGGAACATAGTAAATATTTAGTTAATACCATTTCCTTTGCCCATCCCCTTCCAGCTCTGCAGGCTTCTAACAGAATTTCCATGGATTTTAATCCATGCCTTAGTCTTTCAGAGCCTATGCCAATCAATGTGAAGAGCTCTTGGATGACACACCTCTGGGACCTTAACATTTTCCATGCACTTGAGTGTGTTCACTAGAAACTGAGGGACAGGAAGGAGAAACGGACTATTTTTAAATTTTATCTTCCTGATATTAGGAGGAAATTTCCATGAGCCACAGATCCATAAATAAACTATGTCAGAATGGAACAATAAATTATAAGTTTAAAATCATGGCTCTCAAACTTTAAGGTGTCTCCAAATTATCTGATGAGCTTTTGTAATGCAGATTTCTGGGTCTGGACCAGGAAGGTCCAGATTCCCTTCCTCTGGAAGTAGTCCAGGAAGCTGCATTTGTAGTAAACACCCCAGGTAATTCTGGTGCCCGGGGCAGCAGACCCACTCCAAATGACACTGGCTTACTTACAATTCAGTAAATAAAAACAAATGGTCTATTAAAAAGCCTCTGGCTTTGGAAGCCTGGAGACCCTGTTGCAATTCTGGCTCTGCCCCCTCTGGGTGTGGATCTGTGAACAGTGTCTGATGTCTCTGATATTAAGCATCCTCCAGTTAAAGTGGGATGATGACACCTATCCTGGTTCTGTTGTGAGGTCTAAATGAGCTATTTCCACATAGGGAATCTATCATAAATGCTCATTCCCTCACAGTCTCCACAGGATCTCAAAAACTCTTAGGATTATTCCGTGTCTTGACTTAAAGGGGAAAAAATCGAGTATCATTCCCCAGCAGGTGAGCAGCAGAGCCAGGACTGGGAGACTTGATGCAATGCTTCATCTCCCACACAAGGCTACCTCTCAATCTTCACGCCAGACCATTGGTTTCTTTTTAGACTATTCCCTAAAGATACTTCCTCCAAAATAGAGAGCAGAGGCTGCTGGTTGCTTCATCAATATCCATTCTTGCATTTGCTTCATAACAGAATCCTGATTTCTTTTGGAAATACAATTTACCTCAGTTTAAAAAAAACAAATCTCAACCTCCTTCTACCTAGGTATGACCAGGTGACAGAGTTTAGGCGAGTGAAATGTGAGCAGAAGCTACTTTCTACACAATGGAGTTTATTTCACCATTAGAAAATGAAGCAGGTTCATCACATTCTCGCTTTCTTTCTGCCTGAAAGACCATCACAATACTGGCAGTACCCCAGCCTCTTGTAAACAAGAGGGTAACGACCCAAACTAGGCGTAGTAGAGAGAGAAATGCAGAGTCTGCATCCTGAAACAACAGCACCAACCATTTTTGGTTTTTGGTTTTTGTTTTGCTTTTTTGCGGTAGAACTGGGGTTTGAACTCAGGGCTTTGCACATCCTAGGCAGGCCCTCTACCACTAGAGCCATCCCTACAGCCTTGCACAGCTCTTAAATGCTTGTTATATGAAAAAAGTAAATCTCTACCTTTTTAACCTTAGAACACTTCATGAATGAAAATAGCATAACGAAACTCACTAAAAACTGTTTTAAAAAGGAGGTTGGGGAGGGGGGGTTAAGAAAGAGTAATACAGCCAGGTGCTGGTGGCTCACATCTGTAATCCTAGCTACTCAGGAGGCAGAGATCAGGAGGATCACTGTTCAAAGCCAGCCCAGGCAAATAGTTCGTGAGAAAAAAAAATCTCAAAAAAAGGGCTGGTGGAGTAGCTCAAGGTGTAGGCCCCAAGTTCAAGTCCCAGTACAGTAAAAAAAAAAAAGAAAAAAAAGTACATTATGCACATGCATGTAAATATAAAGAAATCCCTTTGTACAATTAATTCATACTAATAAAAATATCAAAAAAGAATACTCGCGATCATAGGCCCATTCTATATATTGTATTTTCTTTCTTTTTTTTAATTGCAGTACTGGAGTTTGAACTCAGGGCCTACACCTTGAGCTATTCTGCCAGCCCTTTTGTGAGATGGGTTTTTTGGAGATAGGGCAAACTATTTGCCTGGGCTGGCTTCGAACCGCTATCCTCCTGATCTCTGCCTCCAGAGTAGCTAGGATTACAGGTGTGAGCCACCAGAGCCTGGCTGTATATTTTATTTTTGTCTTATTTTCTCACCTACAAGGTTTTTTTATTTCTACCATTATTAGTTGGCACTAACTCTTGGTGCTCCTAACTGAATAACAATCCACCTCAAAACTTAGTGGCTTAGAATAATAACTGTGTGGAGTGTTTTTCGTGAGACTGTGGGCAAGCTGAGTAGTTTCTCTGGTCTAAGCCAATTTAAGCTGAGCTCAGCTCAACTCTTGCCATGAGAGCTGTCAGGTCAACAGAGGCTGAACAGGCCTATAATGGTCTAGCTCCTCTGGGTGGTTTTCATCCTCCACCTGGCTAGCCTGGGCTTGTTAATAGGACAGTTCAGAGATCCAAGATAATGAGATAAGTGTGCCAATGAGCATAAGTCTTAGGCTTCAAGCTAACACACCATTACATTCATTTCTGCCCCACCCCACCGCTTCGGGCATGAACTGAACTGAGTGTGAATTCAAAGGGTGGGGTGGTGTTATGATACACATATATTTTGGGTTTTCTCTGTGGTTCCTGCTTCCTCTTCGCCCCAAAGTAGACTATAGCTACTAGAATTTCTCTTCCCCAAGGCTAGTCATAGAAATGAATCTCCCACCTTTCTTCATTGTCATAGAAACTCAGACCTACCCTGCCTGGCACAGGTGATAAGACCTGCATTTGAGAAGGGGTCCTACTCCCTATGGTATCCTCAGCAAGGAAAGCTGCAGAATCAGAACAGCAGGCCTTGCTGAGTTTCCCTGCCCACTCTATTAGCATGAGATCATACTTTTTCGTTCAAGCACATTTCTGCGTGGTTGTCCACGCTTCAGTCATGCCAATGCAATGAAGTTTCCACAAAAACCCGAAAGAACAAGGTTCAGGGAGCTTCCTGATAGCCGACCACATGGAGGTTTCTGGAGGGAATTATCAACCTAGAATTCTATGTCCAGCGAAAACATTTTTCAGCTGTGAAAATTAAATAAAAACATTTATATCAAACAAAAACTAATATTGTTTACCATTAGTGACTCTCACTAAAGGGAATGGAAGATATCATTTCACTGTTTCTGCCTTCCATTGTTGTGAAACCAGGTAATAGTCTAATGGTTGCTCCTGTGTAGGCAGTCTGTCTTTTCTTTCTGCTGCTTTTTCGTTTTTTTTTAATAGATTT